TAATGTCGGGAGAGCTAAAAAGAAACGCTAAAGATAGAGAGAGGTGGAGAAATCTAGTCCTTGCCCTATGTGCCTACGGGCATAACAAGGACTAGGTAGGTAGGTAGGTATGAGGCCTCAAAGTTGGCATCTAGGAAGTAGAAGAAAAAAAAAGAATATAAGGCCATAATAAAAATATTCCTAGATTCTCATCCCCGCCCGCCCCAAATTTAAACCCCCGCCTCGAGTCTTTTTATTTCTGTTTTTCTTCGTCTTAATTCTGATCGGGAGCGGTATTCATCTACCATTCTACTTTCGTTTTAAATACCGCGAATGTCAACATGATTTTGACAGCTGAAAACATTGTAATACATGCATATATATTTTAAACAAGGGTCATTGGTTGAAAAAGATTGGTGATGATGTAAAGTAAGAGTTAATGGAACCTTTACTATGACTTTTATTCTGGTTTTATAGATAAAATTACACCGACTGACTAGGTCAATAAAAATTCTGCAAAATCAGACATTTTCTTTCCTGTCATGAAGTAAATATTTATTAATATTATAATGTTAAAGCGTAGTCAATACATGAGAACAGTTTCAATTATATTGAACCACACTTATGAAGAACCTGTTTAGAGAATGGCATCAAATTTTGAAATAAAACATATATTTTTTTCAGTTTTTCAATATCTGTATTGCCAATGTAAGAGATTGAAGAATTTTCAGTCAAAATGACAGTCACTGGAAATTCTTCAGTCGCATAAGATTTCAACTGAGAAATTAACACGGAAAAGAACTATTGATTAGGAAAAAAATTCAACAGAAGTTCATGTGCTAAATAAAATTGATCTGCAAAGCCACAAAATTTTATTTCATCCACAATAAAATTAAGCTTTTTCCAAGGCAACTAATAACTAAGATATGAATTTTATAATAGCATCTTTTTTTCTTTTTTTCTCAGGTAAGAAGGATGCGGGTGACAAGTTTGATCGCGCCCAGTGGAAGGCTATGCAGCAGACCATGAGCGACACCACCAAGTTTGTAGACATGTTGCACAATGTATCATGGGAAGACGGTCTGTCTGAGGATGTGCGAAGGGGTAATAAGAAATTCTTTTATATGTTTTTATGTACATCATTATATAGAAATACTGAAAAGTTGCAGAAATCCATTGCTGAACTTAGTAATCTCCGTGAAAATGCAGGACGGGAGAAATCCTGCTGGAAAAAATAAAAGAGTGGACAGCATTTTTCAATCTGTTGCATGATTTGAAGAAATATGATTTCTTGTGAATAGGACAAAAGAAAAGATTATGTTCTTAAGAGTTGTCTTGCCCTCCCCCTAAAAATGTGATGTTGATGTACTGTATTGATTTCAGCTGTGGAGAGTTACCTTGCCGTCTCCAGAGAGGGTCAGCTTGGTATCACAGGGGAGGGAACTCTTCTGGACAATGCACAGGGTGAGGAAAATAATGAAGTCATTTGTCTTTTCAACTTATATTTACTACATATATTAATAATAATGTAGACTGCTTTTTACTGCACGTAAAATATCGAAGTTCTTTAGAAGTACAATTTTTACAAACAATTTTTTTGACATAGAAAAGACCATACACTATACAGTTTTGTATTTGAAATTAATGTATTGTTCAAAGTAGTTTTGGTCAGATTGACTACCAGATATTTTCAATTTAATTGATGAGCGACATATCACAGGTAATTGAAATCTTAAGCTGGAGGATTATAATAGTAAAAGATTTATCTCCCTTTAGACACAACATTTGCTGCCAAAAAGAGAACTCCATCACCAGATGGCACCAAGGGAATCACCATCGCCAGTGCCAAATATAGCAGTGAAGACTGCGCAACCCTGGTACAGTACACCATCGCTATTGTCGAGTACACTCGTCTGTGTGGCCCACTCAAAGTGTCACTCGAGAAACTCCATGAGCTGGAACGAGAGATTGAGGAAAATGAACGTCTTCAGAAGGAAAGCCAAGAAGAGGTATGAATCTCCTTCAATGTTATACAAGTGTATATACTCACAATGTTACGCACTTCCCTTTATATATTCAAAATAATTGTGTTCTCCAATGAATAATATAATAGTATTTTCCAATGAATAATATTAATTGATTATAATTTTTAAAAATTAATGTAATTAAAAGAAACTAATGATTTTTTTTAATCAGTTTTAAAATCTAAGTTATATTTTTACTTTCTGACTTAATGTCATAATAATTAAAGTTTGAAAATTTTTGCATATTTCATAATTATTTGAAAATTAATGACAACCAAGTTTCTCTGCGTCAAAAGCACTAATTTATAAGAATACACAGCCAAATGTAATACATTTACAGTATTTCTCCGAAAGATGCGAATGTTTTGTTAAAAAGTGTACTTATAAGGTATAGTGGGTCTTCACTCCATGGTTTTGTAAACCAAACAAGAGGCCCAGGGGCCACATCGCTCACCTGAGAAGCTTTGACCATTCCGTTCTTTACCAGATTTCCCACTTGCTATACATATTGTGACAACATCCTACACCACTGATCATAATTTAGACAATTTGAAATCTACACTACCATAGGATGCTTTGATTTCCCTTTGTAAAACTTTGATTCCCCATTGTGGCCCTGACCAACCACCGGGGGTAATCAGATTTTAACAATTTAGAATCTACACTACCCCAGGATGCTTCCACTTAAGTTTCAGCTTTTCTGGCCCAGTGGTTCTTGAGTAGAAGATTTTCAAAGACTTTTCCCATATATTTCTATGTTAGACTTTGATTCCCCATTGTGGCCCTGCCCTACCCCGGGGGTCATGATTTTAACAATTTAGAATCTACACTACCCTAGGATGCTTCCACATAAGTTTCAGCTTTTCTGGACAGTGGTTCTTGAGAAGATTTTTCCTATATATTTCTATGTAAAACTTTGATTCCCCATTGTGGCCCCGACCAACCCCCGGGGGTCATGATTTTAACAATTTAGAATCTACACTGTCCCAGGATGCTTCCACATAAGTTTTAGCTTTTCTGGCCCAGTGGTTCTTGAGTAGAAGATTTTCAAAGATTTTTCCCATGTATATCTATGTACAACTTTGATTCCCCATTGTGGCCCCACCCAACCCCCAGGGATCACGATTTTTAATAGCTGCAGAACTGTAGCTCTCCGAAAAAAAAATATTGATAGACCGGAGAGCTACAGTGCCACCCATTGAAAAAACTGTATATTTATTGCGCACAAAAAAATGCGCTCGGTTCTTGATAAATTCTTCCAAATTCTTACCTCAACTGCAAAAAAGGGAAGATTCCAAAAAATTCCTCTCTCCTTTATCAATTACTCTCGTAGTTGACATCTGAACGAAGCATATTCGACCGAATTATCTTTGAAACCAAAATGGCAGTATAAATAAAAGAAATGTTCGATGACTACAATATCAGGATCAGGAGGACTATTAACAACAATTATGAGGAATGTTTGGTTTTGGAAACAGCGAAAGAATGTGTTAGGAACATAAGGTTAGTAATATTTTAAGATTGCAGTTTTAAAAACATGGGAAAATAAATCGAAAACCGAGCGCATTTTTTTGTGCGCAATAAATATACAGTTTTTTCAATGGGTGGCACTGTAGCTCTCCGGTCTATCAATATATTTTTTTCGGAGAGCTACAGATCTGCAGCTAGATTTTTAACAACTTAGAATCTACACTACCCTAGGATGCTTCCACATAAGTTTCAGCTTTTCTGGCCCAGTGGTTCTTGAGAAGAAGATTTTCAACGATTTTTCCCATATTTCTATGTAAAACTTTGATTCCCCATTGTGGCCCTGACCAACCCCTGGGGGTCATGTTTTGAACAATTTAGAATCTACACTACCCCAGAATGCTTCAATATAAGTTTCAGCTTTTCTGGCCCAGTGGTTCTTGAGAAGATTTTCAAAGATTTTTCCTATATATTTCTATGTAAAACTTTGATTCCCCATTGTGGCCCCGCCCAACCCACAGGGGTCATAATTTTAACAATTTAGAATCTACACTACCCCAGGATGTTTTCACATAAGTTTCAGCTTTTCTGACCCAGTGGTTCTTGAGAAGAAGATTTTTTAATGACCCCACTCTATTTTTGTCTTTTCCTGATTATCTCCCCTAAGAAAGGGACTTGGCCCTTCTTTTTAACAATTTAAATTCCCCTTCACCCAAGGATGCTTTGTACCAAGTTTGGTCAAAATTGGCCCAGTGGTTCTTAAGAAGAAATCGAAAATGTGAAAAGTTTACAGACGGACAGAGAGACGGACAGACAGCTGGACAGCTAGACGGACGACGGACAAAACGTGATCAGAAAAGCTCACTTAAGCCTTCGGCTTAGGTGAGCTAACAAGAGGCCCATGGGCCTTATAGGTCACCTGAGCATCATGCAACAACTTACAACGATTGACTTTTGGTCATGTTTTAAACTAGGTGTCATATGGCATTCACAATTTTGAAAGAGGCACCATTGCTAATCATAACTAAACACTTAGCATTGTTATCTTGGTTACTTAATACCCATAGACAGAGTAGGGGAACAAAAACTGCATTTCGACTAGTCAGTAATATTCAGCAATAATCAGTATAGTGTCACTACCACACATGAACCCCTGACCCTTGGTCCACACATTTCACAATTTTGGAAAAGGCACCCTTGCTTATCAAAAATATTTGATTAATACAAAGAAGATTTCAAACAATTAATTCAATTTCATTATATAAGTAGAGCCCCCCTCTATGACCCAGGGGCGTTGAAATTCACAATTCAGGAAGAATGGCCCTTGCTCATCATAGCTATATAGGTAGTTCACCTACTTAATACCCAAGAGTAGAGAAAAAGATTTTCAAACAATTTCTGCATTTTCTCTATATAACCAATAGAGCCCCGCCCTAACACCAAAACCCCTGACCCTGGGGTCATACAATTCACAATCGTATTCTTCCACATCATAACTATGTACTTAGTTTATTTAATACCCAGGAAAAGAAAGAACATTTTTAAAGAAATAATCTATTTTCACTATATAATCAATAGAGCCCTGCCCTAACACCAGAACCCCTGATACTGGGGCCTTAAAAATCCACAATTTTGGAAGAGGCATTCTTGCTCATCATAACCATATACTTAGTTAGTTTATTTAATACTCAAGAGCAGAGAAGAAGATTTTCAAAGAATTAATGTATTTTCACTATATAATCAATAGAGCCCCGCCCTAACACCAGAACCCCTGACCCTGGGGCCAAAAAATTCACAATTTTGGAAGAGGCATTCTTGCTCATCATAACTATATACTTAGTTAATTCATTGAATACCCAGCAGCAGAGCAGAAGATTTTCAAACAATTTCTGCATTTTTTCTATATAATCAATAGAGCCCCACCCTAACACCAGAACCCCTGACCATGGGGCCATAAAATTCACAATTTTGGAAGAAGCATTCTTGCTCATCATAACTATATACTTAGTTAATTCGTTGAATACCCAGGAGCACAGAAGAAGATTTTCAAACAAGTTCTGCATTTTCTCTATATAATCCATAGAGCCCAGCCCTAACACCAGAACCCCTGACCCTGGGGCCATAAAATTCACAATTTTGGAAGAGGCATTTTTGCTCATCTTAACTATATACTTAGTTAGTTTGTTGAATACCCAGCAGCAGAGAAGAAGATTTTCAAACAATTTCTGCATTTTCTCTATATAATCAATAGAGCCCCGCCCTAACACTAGAACCCCTGACCCTGGGGCCATAAAATTCACAATTTTGCAAAAGGCATTCTTCCTTATTATAAATATGTACTTGGTTAGTTAATTTAATATACAGGAGCAGAGAAGAAGATTTTTTAAGAAATATTCCATTTTCACTATATAATCAATAGAGCCCCGCCCTAGCACTAGAACTCCTGACCCTGGGGCCATAAAATTCACAATTTTGTAAAAGGCATTCTTCTTCATCATGTTCATCATAAATATGTACTTGGTTAGTTTATTTAATATACAGGAGCAGAGAAGAAGATTTTTTAAGAAATAATCCATTTTCACTATATAATCGATAGAGCCCCGCCCTAGCACTAGAACCCCTGACCCTGGGGCCATAAAATTCACAATCTTGCAAAAGGCATTCTTCCTCATCATAACTATGTACTTAGTTAGTTTATATAATACCCAGGAGCAGAGAAGAAGATTTTTAAAGAAATAATGCATTTTCATTATAAAATCAATAGAGTCCCACCCCAGCACTAGAACCCCTGACCCTGGGGCCATGAATTTCACAAATTTTGGTAGAGGACTCAATGTTCATTACATTCATGCTAACAGTTTGACTGCTTGATGTCCAGGAGTAAAGAAGAAGATTTTTAAAGATTGCACTAATTTTAGTGGTTTTGGCCCCACCCCTCAGGCCCCAGGGGGGCAGGGACCATGAAATTCACAATTTTTGTTCCCCTTTACCCATACATGATTTATGTAATATTTGGTGGAAATTGGTTGAGTGGTTGCAGAGAAGAAGCTGAAAATGTTCAAATGTTAACACACGACAAACGATGACGGACAAAAACAGATAGCAATAGGTCACCTGAGTTTACTCAGGTGACCTAAAAATGTATATTATTATTATTTAAGGATCATCTTTCAAAAAGTTGGAGCAAAGACCCATATTGAAAAATTTTGTTAAAGTATGAGAAAATGATTGTTTTTGTTCTTTTTAGTGTGTGAATGCTTTTTACAGGCAAATATTTTCAGTCTTGATGAGTTTTTTGAAAATTGTAGAGATTTTAAATTATGTATACTTAAATATTAGATGAAATATCAAATAAAATTTGGATATAATGGAGATTAAATTTTCACTTCATATCTGTCGCACAACAGGCACTTTGTCCACCTTACCCCCCCCCCCCATCTTCTTAACAATATCTGTATAGTTTTGTTTATATTCGAATGTTTTGGTCCGACTAGCCTAAAAAAATTATAAATTTCATACTACAAAAAAA